TTTTTTGTAACCTATTAGACGTCGAATTTGGAAGGTCTCAAGACTTTCCCGCCCAAGTTTACTGATTCGGTCGACGCGAGCATTTAGTGACAAGACATGGGGCTCTATTACGAAGCGCAGAAAATCACACTGTGCACAAAAATACGGTCGGCAACATGGGGACAAAGCAATGCTGCGTAGACATGAGACTTAAATAAGAGGCAAACCACCTTTGTTGTGGAAGCTTTTATACTTAAATCCAGCCCAATTTCGCTTCTGCTGTTTTAATTCTCACCTAGCTGCTTTTCTAATAATGGATTTCGTTATAAGAAATATTACTTTTTTGAAAACTGTTAAGCTTGCATAATATGCAGAGTAGAACTAATCATTACAACGTCAAATGTGTTCCAGCAACTGCACTGCCGAAAGACTTAGAGCTATATGAGAAACAAACAAATTCCCCGTCACGGATTGTTAGCATTAATTGAAGTGAAGGCGAAGGGGGGTCGCATATCTCTGATATTCTTACCAAGGTCACGATGCGGCAATAAGAGTCTACTGTTTTTCCACTGTCTTAGCCTTAATTATGATTGCGTTGTGAAGTTCACATGTTTGCTGTCATAAATACGACTTCAATGAAGACGTGAATTGTCACGAAGAAGCATACGTCAGTACCAACTGCTCTCTGTTTGCTTTGCCATGTACTACTATCCTCTGCAAAACTCTTAGTCGACTAACAGCTAGTAGCCTCGACGAACATTTTTATCTACTAGTTGCGATATGAAATGCAGTGACCGATGTTCTTTGATCACAGGTTTAATGCATGCAGAAGGCATCTCTGGTGACTGTTAATGACTTATCCAAACTCAGCGCCGTCCGACTAATGTGGGCTACTGACCCATGTGACCCCTTTGCAGTCTAACACGACAGCGACGTAGCCAATTCAAATGCATATCTGACCACTTCAACCCAGCATATTATGTGCTTACCTTTTACTAGTACTCTTGCGTGGTTCACTTTTACATGACTATCATTCGTTTCCCTAATGTATGATATTATCAACATGACTAACACACGACCTAGTGCCTGTTGTTTGCTTTCCCAGTTTTTTGAATTTATTAGCACCCCCCACCTGTGACTCAATCTGTTGCATAAGGTCCCGATGACAAGAGGGGATA